GGGTGGATGCTTCGCATCCACCTCGTCCTCCACTTCTCAGCTTCGCATGCTAGGGTAGATGCTTCACATCCACCCTTTGTTCCTCCATCTCAGATGTGCCCAGGTGCGGATGCTATGGTTTGACTTTACTGCTAAGGGTGCACGAAACATGATTTTTCTCCAGGTTGGATGCGACGCATCCAACCCCCTCCTCTAGCTAGATCACATTTTCTTCATATTTTTGCATTCCAAACACCCTAAATCATCACACACAACTCTATTAGTCATAAAACTAATAATTAAGCCATGTTGGGCATTTTAAAGATCGAATAGCATCAAAAAGTTAAAACATGAGTGAGGTAATATTAAAACATATAGAAATATGCCTAACATCAATACACCTTCTCTTCACATGCCCGTACCATCTCAATCTAACTTCCCTCATCTTGTCCTCTACGAGTGTCACTCTCACCTTTTCCCGAATATCAATATTCCTTATCTTATCTAACCTTGTATACCCACACATCCATCTTAGCATCCTCATTTCTGCTACTTTTATCTTCTGGACATGAGTATTTTAACATGCCAACACTCTGCACTATATAGCGTAGCAGGTCTAACCACCACTCTGTAAAACTTACCATTAAGTCGAGGTGGCACCTTCTTATCACACAAAATCCTGGAAGTGTCCATTTCATCCATCCCGCTCTAATACGATGTGTGACATCCTCGTCAATCTTACCATTACCTTGATAATAGATCCGATGTGCTAGAAAATCCCCTTCTTAGGGATGACCTATGAATCCAGCTTCACTTCCACGTCCGCATCATCAATCACGTAGCTGAACTAGCATTCCAAGTACTCTGTTTTAGTCCTGCTCATCTTGAAACCTTTCGACTCCAGGGTTTATCTCCAAACCTCCAGCTTCGCGTTAACACCACCTCGCGACTCGTCAATTAGTACTATATCATTCGCAAGTAACATGCATCATGGAACCTCCCCTTGAATGCGCCACGTCAAAACATCCATTACCAAGGCAATAAAAACGGGCTAAGCGCGGATCCTTGATGCAAGCCCATTCCGACAAAGAAGTGTTCCGAGTCCCCTCCAACCGTTCTAACCCAAGTCTTAACGTCATCATACATATCCTGGATCACCCTAGTATAAGCTACGGGCCTCTAACCTGCAAACACCTCAAAAGAACCTCCCTTGGAACCTTGGCATAAGCTTTCTCTAGGTCAATAAACACCACGTGCAAGTCCTTCCTATCCCTATATTGTTTCACTAGTCTTTTGATAAGGTGAATGACTCCTGTAGTTGATCGCCCTGGCATGAATCCGAATGGATTCTCGAAAATAGATACACTACCCTTTACCCTAACTCCTATCACCCTCTCCCAAACTTTCATGGTGTGACTTAGCAGCTTGACGTTCAATAGTTGTTGTAATTTTGGGTATGCCCCCTTATCCTTGTACACCGAAATCATCGTACTCCGCCTCCACTCTTCAGGCATTTTCATCGTCTTAAAAATGACATCAAACAACCTAGTAAGCCACTCCAAGCCTCCTTTGTCTGCAGTCTTCCAAAATTCCATTGGGATCTCATTTGGCCCGGTCGCTCTACCTCTGTTCATCTTGCGCATAGCCCCCACAATCTCATCAACCTTGATATGCATGCAATATTCAAAATCACGTCGACTCTCGAAAGAACTCCAAGTGCCCAGCACGATGTCCGTATTTCCTTCATCTAATAAGTGAATCATCTACCAATAACTTCCCAAATCCGGACTAATCATGACTCTGATATAAGTACGGAGCACCAACTAGAAAACCAAAAAAAAAAATAACAACGATACTGAGTGTTACAGGAGAAAATTCACTGGAGCAGAGTCCATCTGCTCGTTAACCTACTCAGAATTCAACTCTATATAAACTCCATCAAATAAAAAGAATCTCAATAGCACTCTATCTATATTTGGTCCAATATTTCATAAAAGTCGTAAATAAATGTCATAAATCTTTTTATAGATATTAATATAAATGTTAAAAAGAATTCGACAATGAAATTTACGATATTTGAACTAAGTGTAAAATAAACGTGGGTAAGTAATTTTTTAACATTTATTTCACATTTACGACATTTATAGCTCACATTTCTCGTAATGTCCTTATTATATTGCAACAAAAACAAAAAACAAATCTGATCCTTAGCATTAGGATACGTCTACAATGGTTATATATAGTCGATTGATTTGTATAGTCTATAGTCATTAAAGTGACGGTTACAAATGATAGTTTAAATTTAATAGATAAAAAATACAAGGATAGATAATGCTCATATAACACGACCGATTGAGAAGTATCATAACAACAAAAACCTTGTTGTGTAGATATTTTTACGATTAAAAATCAAGATATTAATAGTAATGGAAATAAGAGAGGATGAGGTAGGTTTTATTCTTGAATTTGGTCTGATATGATCCGCTTAGATGGAGTCTTTGCAATTGACTTGTTACTTATAATGGATATGTAATGACGTTATAGGAATGCAAAATAGTAATGGATACGTAATGTTGTTATTAATTAGTAGCAAAACCTAAGTCTTCCACCATCAATGAAATCTGAATGAGTATATGTATCTCGTTTATTTGTTTTTAAATTTCTCTAGTTAGTCAAACGAGATTGAACTAGTTCTCTCCATCCTAATTTTAATTAAATAACAGATTAAAAAAAAGATAGGAAGGTAACATTGTCTACCAAATTTGGATTAATGGATGTCACATGGGCTGCATTACTAATTAAGCATTTTAAAAGATATTTACGGACCCAATATAAGATTATGCCTTTACCAAATCAATACTTTATGGGATTTGCAGGCAATGACAGTTGTTAATCACGTAAAATTAGGTCTTAAAAACAAGTTGATTATATGTTTGACGCAGACATATGTCACCCAGTCAAACTACACAACAAAATGGAGGGATTTGCCAAGTGTGAAGTGTGATTAATTAATAATTATATTAACTTAAACTTGTACTTAGTGTTTTTTTGTTTCATAAATTGTGTTTGACCAATGTCCATTTGCCTTGGCCAAACTTACATGGACTTTGACTGTCAATACATATTGGTATGCGTGTAACTAAATATCTAGCATGGATGTGTCGTCTCTAGCGGCGGAGGCAATATTTTCATCGAGGAGTTCAACAATAACAATAACAAACTCTGGGAATTTTCATGTGTGGTGTCTGAGAGAGTAGGATGTATATAAGCTTACCCCTATTTTGAGAGGACAGAAACACTATTTTCGATAGATCCCTGATGAAAAAAATGCAACAAATAAATAACAATAAGATATATAAAAAAAACCGAGACCAAGATAACAAATAAACGATAGGTGGCAATCTGAGGATAAACTAACACCAACGTTATCGACTGAGGAAGACAAAGGAGATCACTCAACTACCTACTAAGGACATCTTCAATCTTTACCCCATTTTTGGTCCCCAAAATGGGGAGTTTTTTATTTTGGGGACAACTTACTCCAACCATTCCCCCATTTTTTTCCCCAAATTTTTTTATATTCTTCTCTCTCTTCTATATTATATTATTATCTTTCATTTCAATTTCATTTTAATTTTCCATTAAACAAATTCCATCTTTTATTTTTATTAATTTGTAATTTCCATTAAAACAATTCCATAAAATTTTAAATAATATAATTTGTAAGCAATTATTATAGAGTAACTAATAATTCAAATAAAAGTGAAATCATTGCGATACAAGATTAACTAAATACATATTACATAACGATCAAATTCATTTAATGTATTTTCAATCTTCACTTTTCAATTTTAGCAACATCTAATATTTTATATTCGCACCTTTCAATTTTAGCAACATCTAATATTTTATATTTGCACCATCCATTTTTTGAGATAATTATATATTTTTTGTACAATTATAACTTATAATAAAATTAACTTACAATTTTACATAAAAATAATAAATGCACGAAAATCAATTTATCAAAATTATACACCAAAGTTAAGATGTAAAATTAATATATAAAGATATTACATAAACATAATTAGGTAGATATAAAGAGATAAATTAAAAGATTAAATAATAAAATAATAATAAAAAAATGATGAATAGTAACGGGGGAGATGAATAGTGTACCCCATATTTGAGGGAACACTATTCATCCCGGGAGTTGTGAAGAAAAATGGGGGAGGGTTACGTTGGAGCTAAATTACCCCAAAAATTGTCCCCATTATGGGGAATGGGGTAAGGTTGGAGATGGCCTAACCTTCTACCTTAATACTCGACCTCCACACCTTCCTATCACGGTCATGTCCTCAGTAAACTCCACCTGCACCATGTCGTGCATAATCATCTTTTCCCAAAACTTTTTTTGTCTACCTCTACCTATATATATATATATATATATATATATATATATATCCTACTTGCCTCAGCTCAAGTCAATCTGTATTTATCAGCCATCCAAAAAGCTAATCCACTTTTCAGAAGTGAGAAAAAGCATTTTCCAACTTTCTTTTTCCCTACCCTACTTTTTTCTTCTTATCCATAATCAAATGAAAATTCAATGGTTGTTTTTCGTCAACTTCAAGCTTAAAGGCAGAAAGTTGTCTTGAAACTCCAAATATATTTTCTAAAGTCTCCTCCAATAGATACTTATCGACCATCTAGTAGGAAAACAGAAATTAAATCATCATGATTCTCTTTTTTCTTTGACTATAGCATCCATCTATTATTAAATTCACTCATTTTGTGTTGAAAATATTTATTCTGGTCCTCTATAATTTGAAAACTTTAGGTTGAGAATGCTTTTTGTGGTCCATTCTCTGCTCAATTGACAATTTGATTGTGATTAAGAGGTCTGGGATCATCCTCTAATGTCTTAATCGAAGTCTTTATGTTAAAAAAGAAGAATATATAAAGTGAACAATGCTAGAAATAATTTCCTTACTTTATTTGTGTATTGTTTACCCTTAAAATTGGATAACAATTAAACTTATAATGTGATTTTAAGGACATGTGATTTCACCTAATACCAATTGATAAAGGTAAGAGTAATAATAGGAATTAACAATAATATAAAGCAAACCGATGTTTGAACGAATTTCAGCCCTCGAGCTTAAATATCCTCGAACTGATTTGTGCAAGAACAGTTAAAATATGACAAGCTGATGAACAAGTATATGAAATAAAGAAAATGCGTTATATTGCTTTGATATCTCAGAGTGTAACATGGTTACAAAATGATTAGGACCCTCTTTATATAGTAGAGGATCCTTATCTATGGTACAATTTCAATTACGGAATTAAAAATCCCATGATTAGCTAAACAATCGCCTTTGATTTGATCTGTTCCGGGAATTTCGCCGTGATCTTCAACCGGTCACGGATATCTCGCTTTTCTATTATTGCGCTTTACTCGAAGTCTGCCATATTTGATCTCGATCGCTGCTGGTCTCGATTTTGACAAGCACCTCGATTCTCGAACTCGTTACCTTGTCCTCACGCTCTGGTCTGATCCACTACGAGGCCGACCTTCGATGCAATTCCGTGGTCTCGATCAAATAGTAAAATTGGTTAGGTCCGGTTTTAACCGTATACAGATAGTCCCGTCGTTTCTTGGAGTGTAATGAGAAGAAACGAACTAAGCCTTCGATTTTGTACCTCGACCTGTCATGACGTCATCCTCATGGCGTAAGCGACTGAAACGTCCCGTCGGTACAGTTCCCAAAGTCATTAATGAGCGTCAGTTGGTGGTCGGCCATTATTGGTTTTGAACCGTCATCTACATCTTATAAATGTGCTTTCCTTCTCTTTGCCCAAACTTTACTCTTGATCTCTGCTGTAATCTTCCAAGCTTTTTGCATCTTATAAGCTTTTCCGCTCTACATAATCTCTAGGTTTTGTTATCAACGGTCCCTCAAAACACCAAGCCTTATTCTCTTCTTCTTTCTTTAAACGCATACAAAAATGGCAAAAACGTCAAAAACTGTTCCTCAAAAGGAAAAAGCTTCTTCATCGCGGCCCGCCGGCGATAAAACACCGGTGGAGCCACGCCCTGAGGAGTGTGTTCCCAGGGGGTGTGAACTTACTTCTGACTTCAAAGTGGAGAAAACTTCGTCGGTCCCTGGTTGATGCGAGCCAATGTCGAGATATATATGCTCTATAGCTGAGGGTAACCTTAAGCAGGTGAAGAAAGAATGCCATTGGAAAGATAAAGAGGTGGTGATTCCGACCCTCGAAGAAGACATCACTACTCATATGGAAGGGTTTCTAAGTGTTTACACTTACGCTTTCACGCTGGGCCCTGTCGATCCCGTCATTATCGACTTTTGCCACAAATATCAAATAACCCTAGGCCAAATCCATCCCTCTTTTTGGCATATTGTCATTCTGCTCTGATTCTTCGCGAGCAAAGTCGAAGGGATGTCTTTCACCCTCGACCATATAATCAGGCTATACAGCCGCCGTCTCTATCGAGGCAGGTTAATAAGGCTTCACCGTCGGGCTACCAAGGTGCTGTTCTCGAGCATAGATGAGGACAAGGATCGAGGATGGATGGGCCGGTTCGTCCGAGTGAAGACTTCTAGCCTAATCCCGGCCGAGAAGATTCCTTTGCTTCTTCTCATCGACATCCCTTTCTATGATGTAGGGGTTTCTTGGATGCCCGGTGCAATTCCTAACCTCGAGGACTGGGTTCGAAAACTGGCTTTGACTTTTT